GCATAGATGACACGCACTTTTTTAAACTACGCAAAGGATTTTAATGCGGTTTACAGCAATAGCGACGGACAGTGAAATAATTTATTTGGATACAAGAAATAGGCGAGCGTATATTTTAGTCGTTTGTGTTAATAAACTAACAAACACAAAAACGAATACACCTGATTCCTAACTACTATGCAAACATTAGAAACTTCACAACGATCTTACGATCTTAATTGCACGACTAGCTCACGTCCTAAGAGTTTTATTTCATAAACATTGCATCACGCACTGCTTAACGAGCAGGTAACTGGCTCATGACGAATCAATACAAGCCACATGCCAACGTGCCACCGACGATTAAAAACATTTTTTTTTTATGTGAAAGTTGACAAGCGAGCAGGCGGTTCACCTGTTACCTGAATACCGCCGCCATAGACAGCTGCTACACCCGAGGGTTACAGATGCGTCGACAACCTTGAAAATTGGACTCCGGCTACCTCACTCACCGGACGAAACGCGATAGTATACTTCACTTTACTCCGGTCTTCTGTGAGGTCGTGGTACTTACTCGGACGAGCCTGTCCATTCGTGCAAGTTGCAACTGCCGAGGCGGCTGCGTGGCCCTGCCACAGTTAAATTTCTTTTTCTTTTTTAATAAGTCCGGGCGCTCGCCTTTAATTCAATATACTCCAGCAACCTAAGATCGATCCCCGGTGCCGGCACCAATGAAATGTTTTATTAGTGCTGACTTATCACGTGCTCAGCACAAACGTCGTGAGGAAACATGAATATTTTAGAAATAATAACAAAAGTAGATATTTAGAAGATATGTGAAATCCACCAATCCGCAGTGAGGCCGCATGGTGCACTATGCCTTGATACCCTGTGTACATGTATCGTTTTGAACAATGCCGGAATACTTTCCAGTAAAGTTCTATATTTTTTATTGTTATTTTAGTGTTTAAAGCAACAGTGGATCCAACATACGGCATACTATGCTGTGTTAAGCGCACGGTTTGATGTTACTTAAAGCTAACAAATTTTATGGATAAGCATTCAAAATGCGATACGTGACACAAGTAAAATAGAAAATTCACATCGCCCTCCTTTTATCCACTTTCTTCTAAATTGTATGCTAATAGAGGTAACCACTCGTCACCAAAGCTAGGTTTCAAATTTAAATTTTCTTCATAAGCCCTAAAAAAAAAGAAGAAAACTATATCTGGGTTGGCGCATTGTCTAGGCTATAGAATTCCAGCCCCGTAGTCTAGGGCTCACAGAATGGGGCAAAGGTATCCCCTGCCTGTCGTAAAAGGCGACTAAAAGGTGACACGGATTGGCAGCATCACGAGGTGGTCTAGAGTCACACTGCACGATGGTAAGGGAATCGGAGAAGGTTTATCCCTCTCCCAGGTGTACTCTCGCGCATTGCCAAGGGACACCGGTGCGTTCCGTAGGAGATCCCGGAGTCCCTCCAAAGGTGCAGAAGGTAAAAAATGAAATGGGGTGTTTACCCATAGAAAACGAAAAGGTTTCAGTGGGTAAAAACCCCCTGGAATCCATGAAATGGGGTTGTTACCCACAGAAACCGAAAAGGTTTCAGTTGGTAAAAACCCTACTTAACCCTGTCATGTAAGGTGACAGGGTATCTTGAAGATTTATACAAAATACCCCGGATATGTGAAAATGTGTGAAGTTCTAACTATAAGAAATTTGTGTGTGCAAAACTTCCTAGCAATACAGGGTAATTTCGTAAAAGAGACAGTGAACATAAACGTAAAGTAAAGTAACAGCCTATACACGTCCCAGTGCTGGGCAAAGGCCTCCTCTATGCGAAAGGGTATCAGGGCACCACGCAGCCCCACTGCGGATTGGCGGACTTCACATCTTCGAAAAAAAAATTCTTTTTCTTGTTATTAAAATATGCAGGTTTCCTCACGATGTTTTCCTTCACCGCAGAGCACATGATAAGTCAGCACTTAAAGTTAAAAACTTCATTGGTGCCAGCACCAGGGATCAAACTCAGGTTGCTCGAGTACATTGAATTAAAGGCAAGCGCCCGGACACTGAGCTATCACGGCTCACACGAACATATGAACATATGGAAGCAAATAAAAAATCGATACATTTTTAACAATTAATAACGTTATATTAATCGAATCCTTAAAAAATAAATAATAACGTATAATTCATATGCCAAATGAAATATGAAATCCGAGGGTGAGAGTCATTCGTGTTTCACAATAATTCGCAACGATAAGAGACGAGCATAATATTAAACGCGTGGTTTTAGCTTATCCAATAAGCTTGGCCAGTTCGCCACTAAATAAACACATAATTGAAAAGAAAAATATTTTTCTCTTTTTAAGTTAAGAACAAACCATCCATTGTCATTACGATCAATGTCATTTATTGCCGCTTGATCACCGTTGTGGAACGGCGAACGAATACAGTTTGCTTAATCTATCTATTTTATACTCCTAACTCAGTGGGTTGATTTAATTGAATTCAAAAATTCACATAATTCCGGTGTTAAGTACAGAAATAGACATGATAAAATTTTTAGGTTCTAAAACCTAAACTTCAGAAAAGGTATTTGAGAATTAAAATTGCCACGAGGCATGACAGTAACAAGGCATATGTCTGGTTTCGAATAAAACAAATAAAAAAATTAAAATTGAATTAATGAATGAAACCATGAAACATGAAGCGTTGCAAGATTGCAAATTTTTATGTTTCCTCCCGAAAGCATAAAATAATTTATAATATATCTCTAAGTTACCCAATAAACATTAATTTATTAAACATTTTAAAACTTTCTAAATGAGTTGACTGCTACAACAATTATAACGCTATTGATACATACATAACTGTTTGTTGATAAGTCTCTCTTATGAACAATGCAATATATCAACATGTAGACCACTTTTTATCCCAAAAAAAAACCTACTACCATCTATCATAGGATAAATAACAAAATATAAAAACTGATATAAAGATTTTAGATATTCTACATACATGCATAGTAAATATGTCATCTTTTCAGCTTTCTCTTGCTATAAATGCAACTGACATTTTTGAATAACCTGCTAGAGACAGTGAGTAACCTGCTGTAAAATACTATTTAAATACATATATAATATAAAAGAATGTTAATGAAGCAATCTAAACATCTGCATTGTGTAGTGGAAACAATTCTGGAACACTTTTCTCTAAAGTTATCAATATGGCCATGTTTTCATAGGGAAAGGTAATATTATTAAGCCACCAAATTCCAAGAAGTCTGCTAATGCCAGGCGATATATTTACTTTGCACTTGGAATAACTATGGAAAGAAATCAAGAAATGAATCCATGTTTTATTGAACACATTGAGATGACCCATGAGAAAGGCATGAGCATAAATGATCAGAAAGAATTTAGGAATTGGACAATCAATTTATCTATTACTGACAAACGGATATAGAGCAGTACCAACTCTAGACTGGCCACAAAATAGATAAGATAATACGATAATATACAAAATAAATTGTACATCGCTATCAAATATTAGATTTAATAAAACATGTTCAATGAAATCTAAATGTGAATTGATAATAAAAAGGTTTGGGTGTTATCTTAGAAATTACTTTAAAATACAAATATATAATCACACTTGCTTGTGCCAAGTAGTCAATTAATTTTAACAAAATTTGTATCTTTCTGCCATCATTCAAGTTCTGTTTATAAATGTCAGTGTTTATTTTGAGTAGAAAACAAGTTTAGGTTTTGTAAAACCTTGACAAACCCATAAAAAATAAACCTATGTATGTGTTTGGATTTTCTGACTAATTTCATTCAATTTAATGAAAGAAAAGTTACTTTACATCAGGAAAAACTGCAGTGACAAATTGCAATGGACCATCTTAGCGCACAACCACTGTTAAAATTGATTCAGCTTTACAATCAAGTTAAAGAAGTCTGAATCTTTTTATATAATAGAAACATTGTTACTAAGAAGAAAATAAAATTATGACAGTATACAGCGTGTCGTTACAACCGCGGCAATAAATGAACACACGTCTAAAGCTACTTGCCAATAAGCATAAAAAATATAAAACATAAAAAAAAACCACAATTAAAAAAAATATTTTTCAAACAAACTAATTAAATAAAAAAGGAACAAAATTTGTAACACCTATACAACTACAACTGACTGATTCACATTCCGACACTTTTTCATTCATTGCCGCAGCATCGCATTACAAATCTCTCCTTCAAACAGTATGTTTTATCCCTTTCAAATTCATTCAACCCATTCATATGCTTTGTGACCTTTCCAAATGAAATTTACGTTACAGTTTTATACGTAAGCGTGTTCTAAAATTGTTTGTTTTTGAAAATTCAATAACTCAGTAAATATTGATGTTTAAGGATTGTAAATGATTAATACAATTTTAATAAGTTATCCTCTAATTGTGTATTGATTTATGGTTGCGTTAGTAGCGACACACTATATATTGAAGTAAAAAGTATTTCAATCAAGTAAAAATTTACAGTTAAAATAATTCATGTTAATTCTAATGGATATCATTTTAAGGAAATATGATCAACCACTGTACTACAATCTACATATAAATGGTTTCCTTGTAAAGTAGTAGTATTTAGGTACCTAATCTAAACAATTATGGCACAGCTAATAAGATATTTTTTATAATTCATGTATCTAATTATTCATAAACTTTATATATTTGTAGTAAAAGGCAAAATTTAAAAAAGTATGAATACAATAAGATTACCTGAGTTAAATGAAAATAAAAACAGATCTCTAACCATGCTCAAGAATAATCCAAGTTTCAAGTGGTTTTCGGGATCAGGATCAGAGGATTCAATGTGGGGGTAAGGAGCTGTTAGAAGAACACTTACCAATGCCTAAGGAACAAAAAAAGAAATAAAATCTCTTTTGAATGTGATATGACAAGTTAATTTTACACTATAACAATTTTGTGCTTATGAAGAATGTTAAAAAAAACTTACATGTATGCTTTCACCAAGTAGTGCAGCTTGATGCATCAATTTCTTGGGTATACAGCCAACATTGACACATGTACCGCCCAAGCCCCATTTTGTGCCTTGGGGCGATGGAGTCACATAATCTAACACCGCAACTCTTGCCCCATGGTTAACAGCCTCTTTAGCACAAGCCAACCCTCCTGAACCGCCTCCGATAACCGCCAAGTCATAATCAAATGTCCCATCTACAATACATTGTATAAAAAGATACTTTTGTACAAAAGTTTTAAAATGACCAGTGTTGGTGTTAGTACAGATTGATATTTATGTATGGCATAAGCAGTTCTAAGAAAAATTGTAGACTGTGATTAAAATGACATAAATTAAAGTTTTCGATACTAAGCTTGGAAGACTAATTAAAAATTTACATAAATTTTACTTATATGGGTTCAATAATTATTTCTTGGTGAAATTTGATTTTTCTATATCACATTTGCAGGATTTGGAGATTTTTAAAACTTAGACAAGCATGTGAGAAACATGCCTATATATAAATAATTTATATACACATTTCATATTAGAAGTATCTTATAATATGGAATTATGCAATACTTTTTATATTCAAGACATATGAAAAAGGACAAGATCTGTGAGTTGTTTTAGTTCAATTTTATATTAAAACTATAGATGCTAATTTATACTATATCATGGACAAATGGCAAATCTGTAAGTGGGCGGAAATTGATAGCAATTAGCAACCCCATCAATCTGTACGAAGCCCAATTAACATATTGGAAACATAGATAAACAGTTAAGCAACAGACAGCCGGCAACATATAGCTCAGTAGGAATATTGCTCACTGTACCTTCTCCACCTAAAGGTGTAACCGATGTCTTTCGGCTACAACACATCCAACCTGGTTTTGCCACCAATAAAATATTTTTGTAATGTTGCACAACATTAAAATTTTAAAACATACTCAATTGCATTAAGAAGCTATTGCATAAGGCTAGCTTTTGGATGCATTGTTATAAAAAAATATTACAATTTAGGAATTAAATGACAGGTAAAATTTTAATCTATTTTATTTCAATAAGTATGTTGCAATAAGTTAAAAACTAAGTAAACTGCATGCGAAAATAACAAAATTAACTAACGTGTAAATATTTGTAAAGGATATCCAAAATCGTATAATCGTGTGACAACTTTATTAAAACGCCGACTTGAATACAGGTACAGGTACAGATTCTTGCAAGACGCATACTACGCGCAAATACATTTAGGTTAAAAGATAATTAGCATTTCAAGGCCAGATATATGATTGCCACAAGTTACTTACGGCTTGAGAACGTGCGCCACGATAGAAAAAAAATATTATCTATCCTCTGTACCGGCCTAAAGGAATTTGCAATCCTCATAAAATTCCTTAAAATTGTCATATTGACGTAAATGACATTTACACTGGAACCGTGATCTACAAACCTAAGAATTAAGGAGTGCTGTTTTCTATCAGACGTCAAGCAATTTGCAACTGGGAGACAATTTCTCAAAATGAAAACCGTGCTAATCACCGGAGCTAACCGTGGTTTAGGCCTCGGAATGGTAAATTATCTCACGAAGCAGAAGAAGGCGGAGAAAATATTTGCTACTTGTCGGAATGCCTCAGAGGTACGTAGTAAAACTTAACTTACCTATAGGAGCCATTATCAATTAAAACTGTCACAGAATCAATTTTTTATCACTTTCACAGTTTTAAGACGTCTTTACGTCTTACAAAGCTTTTAGAAAATGCCCTTGTTCGCTACAATGAGCCTATAAAGGCTAGTTTTCAGAAACTGTTAGAGCGTGCGAAAGAGACAGCGTACAGCGTAGAAGCGATGACTACTGACAGCTGACGTCATTCGAGAATGACGTATCATAAAAACTAAAGGTCCGGTATATGAAACGAGTTAGATGACTTAAGATACTTAGCCAGAGACACAAATGGAATTAACATTTAATCAAGGACATTTCTTATTTATAAATATTTAGTTTTATAAATTTATATTATCGAGCACAAATAAGTCATTCCAATTTCTTTCAGGATCTCACAAAACTATCTGAAGAACATACAAATCTGCACATTTTACATTTAGGTATATTAAACTTCTTTTCTAAAAATATTTTAAACTAATTTATTTCTTTAATATACTTTTACACCATTTTATTTAAATGTAAATGATAATTGAAATTCAATTTTTACATAGACGTTAAAGACTTGAAAAGTTTTGGCGATTTTGCGACGCAGATCCATCAGTTATTAGGCAATCAGGGCCTGAATGTTCTTGTTAATAATGCTGGAGTATCAACTAAATTCACAAAACTTAGTCTAGTAAAGGAAGAGCAGCTACTGGAAAATTTTACGGTGAATACTGTCGCACCTATTATGCTCACTAAGGTGGGTATATCAATTAGTTCAAGAGCAAAATATTTAAAAAAAGTCAATATAAAAAAATCAATCATATTCATTTATTCGACGTCATTTACAGTTACTCTTAAGCTTACCGAATTGTCTGCCAATATTATATAACAAAATACTCAACATTGTAATGTGGTTTGCAGATGCACCTTATTTTCAAAACTTAAAGCGTTTCGATTAACAACTATGTGATTTATTATTTGATAGATAACGTAACAATACAACAGTCGCCTTGTCATTATAGGCTCTTCTGCCGTTCTTGAAACAAGCAGCTGATAATAACAGCGACAAACCGGTCGGAGCAAATCGAGCCGCTGTTATAAACATTAGTTCAGTGCTTGGATCTATTGCGAAGAACGATCAAGGCGGTTTTTATCCATATAGGTGCTCAAAAGTAAGATATTTTGTCTATGATACTTTTATTATTATTAGTCTAGTACACTGTTCTCTATGTTTATTATTTTTAAATTTTTATAATAAATCCATGACTTAACAGTGCACCGATTATAATCATAAACATAATTATGTTGCCTCTTTATTCTTAATTTAATTAATAAATCACTTGAAATTTTTATCTTTAACTTATACTGTGTATTTATAATTCATTAAAACATTTTAAGGCGGCATTAAACGCAGCAACGAAATCGATGGGTCATGATCTTAAAAAAGATCAAATTCTTGTAGCTTGTATTCATCCTGGCTGGGTACGAACGGATATGGGTGGCAAAAACGCACCGCTAGATGTCGACACTAGTATCAGCGGCATTTTCAACACTATAAGCAAGCTCGGTGAACCCGATAGTGGAAAATTCCTACAATACGATGGAAATGAACTGCCATGGTAAAATTAATATTGTTATCTACGAAATGTAAAACCTTACATGTTAATGAATACAATTTTGAGAACAGATTTTGCCTGTTATTTACCCAAATGTTTTATAATGCCAAGATAACTATGCCTGCATTCCTTTTACGTCGTCGTATACGGAACCGATGTAAAATTTTATTCATTTTATCCGATTTACATACAAAATTATAATCACATTATTAAGTTACTAGCTGCTGCCACCAACTACGTCTGCGTAGAATAGGCTAAAGGCGTAACATTCAGACAGAAAGACAAGTATACATAAAAATATGTATATAAAATATAGCCCATGTGTTATACTGATATATAAGCTACATTTTTGTAGTTTCATTAAAATCCATTCAGTAGTATTTGCGTGAAAAAGTAACAAACATCCATCCGTACGTACAAACTTTCGCGTTTATAATATTAAGTAAGGATAACATTTTCACGGCTATAGTAAAGCTTTCAAATGGCAGTTTCTGTTGTACGAATGGGCAGGCTCGTCAGGGGACAGACCGGCGGCGAGAAGTGGAAATACTATATTTTTGCGTTTAGTACGGTGAGTGTGGCAATCGGGACCCACTTTTTAAAAGGTTGGCACGTATCTGTAAATCCTAGTGCTGTAAATGTATGCGGTGGTGGTAATCGCTTAACACCAGGTGACGTAACAGCCTATAAGGCAAAGGCCTCCTCTGCACAGAGGGTGTCAGGGCATGGTCCACCACGCGGCCCCATTGCGTATTGGCGGACTTCACATATTTTCGAAATATTTATATATATCGTCATCATGCGTATATATATATATATATATATATATATATATATATATATATATATACGCACGATGTTTTCCTTCACCGCGGAGTACGTGATAACTTACCGTCGAACTCAGCTGGAGTATATTGAATAAAAACGAGCTATCACGGTTCAACCAGCCACCAGGTGAAACCAGGTGTTTTAGAGATTTATTGCAATTTTATCAAATAAAAAAAAAACAGTATTTTATATTTTTGTAAATTAGACTTAATAAAGACCAATACCGTAATTTGATTTACTTTTTTTATGTGAAAAGTTTGTCAAGCGAGCAGACGGTTCGCCTGATGTTAAGTGAATACCGCTGCCCATGGACATTTGCTACACCCGAGGGTTCCAAATGCATTGACAACCTTTTGAAAATTGGGCTCCGGCCACCTCACTCACCAGACGAAACGCGAAAGTATTATACTTCCACTTTACGCCGGTCTTCTGTGAGGTCGTGGTACTTACCCGGACGAGCCTGCCCATTCGTGCAACAGCCGAGGCTGCTGCGTGGCCCTACCACCGTAGAATTTGATATAATTGTATTATGTATTTTTTGATTGTATTGTGACTTTTAGACAGTGTGCTGTCTAAGCCACAACTCTGGTTGAACATATTATATATTGTCCTAAAATATATTTTTTTTATTTATGTAACTGTAAGAACGTTATTAACAAACGTTCAACTATATTAAATAGGTCTGGATTTTATTTTAATATTTTTTCTTTCAACGATTTTCGTGATTACTAAGTTCCACTAACCTTTCCATACTGGGTAATATACAGGGCCGATCACGTTGTCAATTTCCGATTCGACGTCTGTCACGTTTTCTACGTACGCCAATTTGCCTTTGTCTGGAATTTATTAAACGAGTTTAGTTTTTTAATACGTCATTTTGCTACATACAGCACTTTTTCTATATTTACAGAAAATATGGATATTATTAAATGCAGCAATGTCATAAATGTATTAATTGCCGAACTTCACTTCTGTGTCAAATGGAGAGTTTATTCGTAGATTGAACTTAACAAAGGGAAATTTTATACTAATTAGCATTTGCTGAAGTGCTTGTGAACGACCTTATCAATTAGAAAACGATGTCGATAAAAAAAACGACATGCGAAATTTAACACAATTGGAATAGTAGCAATATCATTAGAGACTTTCTTTTCAAGATCTTCGCAAATCGTATTTGATTTCGATTTCGAAGTCAAAATTATTTAAAAATTATAAATTATTATTTAAACTAATATAACAGGTATTTTTTATTACTGACGTGTATAAAAATTTAAATACTTTTTTCTTTCAACAACTTTTCAATTAGATATCTGTGTTACGGCCATGCAACAGCTTCGGCTGTTGCGGCATGTCCGTCTGGGTAAGTACCATGACCTCACAAAAGATCGGCGTGAAGTGGAAGTGTTATAATACATCTGCGTTTCGTCTGCCACTAGCCGAAGCCCAATTTATTATAAGGTGGCAACGCATCTGCAACACTATGGGTGTTGCATATGTCCATGGGTAGCTGTTTTCACTTCGTTTCATCAGGTGAATTCAGCGCGCTTGCTACGTTCTCACATAAAAAAAAATTGTTTAGTAAGACACGAGGTGATGCCGGCATTAAGTCGAGTGATTATTGTCGGTGTCGTATTAAAACTTGTCATTAAAATATGTTATATTTTCTTTTATGATTCAATTTTCAACAAACGTAACGAAAGACACAGCGGTCGACCATCGGAGATGAGGTTCGAACGACAGAGCGATATTCTGGTGTATTTCTTCGAGCGTATTTGTCACTACATACTATAAAACAAACTGGCGGATTTGCCCTAAGGCCCAATAGAATCGAGCCTAGGGCGGCCAAAGATTAGGGGCGGCCAAACGTGACAAAAAATTCACTGAAAGGGACGGCTGGAACTTAGTACATGGGCTGGGGTCTAGGGCGGCCAAGACTACAAATATGCCATTGAAAACAAAGTCGTCCCGCTGTCTGTCTGTCCCTATGTATGGTAAGATCTTAATGCGGTTTTTTTTACTAGATAGAGTGATTCAAGAGGAAGGTACTCGTATATATGTATAAAATACATTGCACCCGTGCGTAGCTTGGGCGGATTGCTAGTATTTATATCAATATGTCAGCTGAGGTGTTTGTCATATACTGTGTAGTCTGATGGAGACTATGTTTGATAGTGTAGATCTTGTATTAACTGATGTTTGTGCTTTCAGTCCCGAGACTATTAAAGCTTCATCTGACGCAGAACCGGTGGGCTAGCCAGATCCCACGGGTTTGAAAAACTCACGGGTTTGGTTGATAGTGTAGAGCTCCGGTTAAATCGCTTACCGAACGAAACGGAATGTTTATAGTCTTATTTTTATGAAGACACCGAAAATTTCATAATGCTATCAATCTATATGAGGGGCCTAACTTAAACACCTACCTAAAGGGAGTGGGGCCCGTAGATGCATTGTAAGGCTTTATCGGCTTAGGTGGTTAGGCTTTATCGGGCTCTAATAGATTAAACTGTGAACAAAAACAGTGAATAAACGTCACGTACGAGTGATCATTGAATATTTGATGACCTTTGACCTTTTGTAGTTATCGACTACAATATATTATGTTGCCCTTTCTTTAAAAGTGAATGTCTTATGGTATCGATTTTTACAACAGCGCTTAACGTTATTTAAAATGCTACTCGCCGTGCGTAAAACATTCTGTGGTCACATAAAACGAATTTAAATATATCGTCGGAAATTCTTAATTATTGTCTACGCTTTCATATAATATTTTTTTTTCTTCTGATTTATAGATATTGAGATTCAGAATAGAACATCGTTCTATCTGATTTGTGCTTCGCAGTACAAGGACATTTATGTACGTTAGGACACTGTCTTTTTTTGTGACTAGACCATAGGCGTACATAGCGGGGGGGGCCGGGTGGGCCGTGCCCACCCCAGTAGGGTCTAGTGCCCACCCCAGGATTTTGGGTTACCGATTCGAAATTCTAGGCTGGACATCTATCCTTCAACGCCAAAAGCAGATTGAAGCCGAGCGAGGCGAGCGAGGTGCAATGTAGATATTGAATTTCTCGAATTTTCTCTACTATAATACGCATATATATTACATGTAAACCTTCCACTTGAATAATATCTATCTGAGTGTTCGATTTCTTTTGTAGTAAGGGCCCAGGCCCACCCTGGAAAATAGCCCTAGATACGCCAATGGACTAGACAAAGCTTACTAATGTAATAGGCGAGTGTAAAATACTCTATTGGAGTCAATTGATAATTATTGCACAGTCACCCACTTTTTTATGGATTTTTCGTTGAAAACAGTGCTTTTATGTAGTAAGTACATGCGTTTATATCATACATATTTTCCAAGTTTTTAGTAAACAACGTTATAAATGAACGTGTGACCTATTATTTTTTGGAATGTTCCGTTGAACAAAGTTATATAAACGTGTATAATTATATGCACTTGCGATCCTTCAGTATTTGCCATTTTCCGTAGGAAAACGTCACTTTTACACATGAAACCTCTTATTTCCTAAATTTATATAATTATTTATACAAAAAGTATACTGTTTGTTTATATACCTAATCATATTACAAACCTCAAAAATTGTAATAGCAACTGCTATGTATAAGAAAACTATAACCAAAATAAAAAATATATAAATTGAATCGAATAAATGGAATCCTGAACAATTACAATTTTGCAGATCATGGGTACAAATTAGAAGTAAAAATGTTAGTTTTTAGTAAACTAGTACTAATGTGTTGTTGAACACAATGCAGTAGAATTTTTATTAATTTTTTACCCACGGAGCTTTAATATAGGGTCAAGATTTAAAGAATAGACTTGAAGGTTTCACACCACCAATGTGTGTACATCCTTTTTTTTTGTTGTTAACGTGAGAGAAATGCCTGTGCATACTCGCCCTCGTGGAGGCAAGGACGGTTTATGTCGGACTCGCACCGATTAAAACCCCCACGACGTTCCACCTAGGCGCAGGGTCGGATTTTAAGGTCTGGAGGCCTCGGGGCAACAAAGGAGTGGAGGCCCCTTGGCCCCAAATTATTTTGATATTTTACTGACTGCCTGATTAGAGTGAACAAATATAGATCGATGATTTCTGTTAATATTTAATGTAATCATGTTTGTACAAAGTACTGTAGGTAAAGGTAAAATAC